GGGGGGAGGGGAGGGGTTAAAGGGAGTCCACCGTCCACCTGTACGATTTTTCTTCCCTCCCGCCATCTGACGGCGCCTCTTGCGTATCGTAGCAGGTCGGTAAGGTACAGTTTGGGATGTTCTCCTGTGTCTTAATTGTCACCACATGGTTGGCGTTCAATTGCGTTTATGTTAATTTTTTGCAGAAATAGGATTCATTCTGTGAGTGTTTTAATGGAAGTGTGGAATTAAGTCTGGTGTGACAATGGCCCTAACTAAGTCAAGTTCAAAGGATGATGTCCTAGCATACTTGTTCTCTTATTTGGGCACAATTACGGAGGAGACAGCTCAAGAGCTTTATGGTAATTATATCTTGCTATCTGTTTATAATTTTTTTAAGTATCTGGTTGCATGCAGTTGTTCTTAACTCTTAATTGTAGTGGCTGCTTTGGATACTTCCAGTATTTTCTCATGAGCACCTCTCTTTCACAGGGGCATTGATTTATAATGTTTTGTTGGGAGTGAATTTGTCTTTGGCGTAAAACTAGAATGTTTTGCTAAGAATAATGGCTGATGTTCCGTGTCCACTGTGCCTCCACATTGTACCTGGTTTGAGGTCGATCAATAATCATCTGCTTGAACAGCATGGTGTTGCTGCTACAGCACAAGTTCCAGGTGGCTTTAATTGTCCATTCTGTGTGAGAAACTTTGTGACCCTTCGGTGGTGGAAAGTGCATGTTCAGATCCATTTAGCTCAAGTAAATGTAGAGCCAATTCAACCCGATGCAGCAGCTGATAATATTGGCAATATTGATATGGATCATGACGGTGATGCAAATAATATGAATATAGATGATATTTCAGAAGGCGATGAAGAATCTAGTAATGATGAGTGGTCAGAGGATGAAGAGGACCCACGAATTGCTCTGCTTGAGGATTTACCGAATGGGAGGAAAGATTTGAAACATGCTGCTGCTAATATGATATTGGACATGAGAGGAGTTAGTGCCATGACGAGGGTTGGTGTGCGTAGGGCCATGCATGCTGCTGATCTTGTGCTCAAGTTAAACAACATGCACTTAAAGGAAGATGTAGCAACTTATTTGAATTCTGTAAATTTACTAAATACACCTGAAGCTCAAAACTTATTACAGAATTTTGAAAAAGACAGTCCCTTTAAAGGCATGTTTTCTGACAGCAGCCAAATTTCTGCTCTCCAGAGATATAATTTTTACCTTCAGCCTCAGACTGTTCTGGTTCATGATCGTTTAGATCAAAGATTGCATGGAGACGACATTTACATTCAAAGACCAGTGCCTAGTACTTACGAATATATTTCAGTCCAACAAATACTCAAACAAATTGTGAAAAGGAGAGAAATAATGGATTATGTAAGGTCTCTTCGTCCTTCGACCAATGGGATGTTGTACTCATTTACTGATAGTGACCAATATCGTAGGAGCCCTTTCTTTCAAGAGCACCCTGAAGCATTTCAGCTTGTACTTTACTATGACGGTGTCGATCCTTGTAGAAGTCAAGGTCCGAAGTCTGGACATCATGAACTTGGTAATTTCCTTCTGCGGATCCTGAACCTTCCTCCAAGAATTAACTCGACCATGGCATCGGTCTTTCCGCTCATTCTTGCTAATTCTAATGATTGCAAAGGCACATTTGAGGGAGTGTTGCGCAAACTTGTTGATGAGGTTATAGAACTTGAGAACGGGGTAGACATGTATGTTGCTGATAGGGGGATGGAACGAATTTTTGCTACAATTGTGGCAGTTAAAGGAGATTCAAAGGCTGTGCATGCTGTGCTTGGCTTCCTTGACTGTGGAGCTAGACATTTTTGTCGTGATTGTATGATAAGCCGACCAGAGTTGCATGCTGGTATTTTCCCCTTCGGAGTACAGCGCACTCAAGAATTATCGAATGAAGATCTGAGAAGGGTGCAGGAAAACGTTGCCTATAGTACTCAATGTGGTTTGCGGTATCGACCAGTCTTGCATGATCTCCAGCACTTTAGAGCTGAAGACAATAGAAATTTTGACCATGGCATGCATGATATGGCAGAAGGCATAATTCCACTTTTAATTAGGCTTTGTCTCAGGCAGTTCCACATCGCAAACTTATTTGATATTAATGAGTTTAGTGCCAGAATTTTTGCATTCAACTATGGAAAAGCTAATGCAAAGGACAAACCTAATGTTACATTCGATAGAGAGATGGTGCAAGATCCTAATGGTATAAGTTTAAAGCAAAATGCAGGTCAAATGATGGTTTTCTTTAGAGCTCTGCCATTTCTTCTGGACAATCTGGCTGATAATCCACAGGTTTTAGTGGAAAATGACTTTTATCAAATGCTCATTTTGCTACTGAAAATCTTTCAGTTGTCTATGGCTCCTCAGATACCAAGAGACATTTTGCCACTTCTGCAAAGATATTTGGAACAATTTAGGAGGACTTGGTATGTTTTATTTCCTGCTGTACACCCTCCCAACAAATTTCATCATATAATGCATCTTGTCCAAAACACCAAAGAAAAAGGCCCGCAAAGACAGTTCTATTGCTTCAGAGAAGAGGGGAAAAATTGTCCTGTCAAAAGACATGTTGTAGTTTGCAACAATTTTATCAACCCTCAGAAGACTTCCATGGAGCAAGCACAAATATTTCAGGCCAAGGCATGGGGAGGTAGAAATTTAAATGTTTTCCAGAAGAGCAAATATTTTAAGAAACAAGTTTGTTCTGTCCACAACCTTCCATGTGCTGCTGCCCTGCTAGCCCTGGGTTTGCCCCTCGAGGGTCAAGTTATGACAGTGAGAGGTATTGAAATTTATGGTGTGGAGTACAGGTGCAATCAGTACCTACTCATCCTGACAGAGGACTGTTCTCCTGATGATGGTCTACCCAGATTTGGAAAAATAAAAACAATGATCTGTCCAGGTGGTCAAGGTAGCACTGTTATATTTGGGGTGGAAGCATGCACAACTAATGGTTTTGTGGAACGGCTTAATGCCTATGTTGTTTCTTCCCGTAATAATGCACCAACGCATTTAATTGACTTGCATGATTTACCAAATCATCCGCCTATCTCAGCATGGCATGATTTCTCAACGGCAAGAACGTATCTGAGCTTAAAGCATGCTGTGTTCTAACATGAACAGCTTCTCGGTATGGTACTTGTTTTAATTTTAATTTGCTGCACTTCAGATTATTTGCACTATTTTAATTTGACCTTTTATAAATTTACAGCTCAAGAAATAGATGGAGAAGATTTTCTAGCATTTTCAGAGGAAGAACTGCTTAAAAACTTTCCAAAAATATTATTCAAACAACGCAAAGAAGTTATGAAACTGGTGAAAGGTTTATCTACTTCTCCTCTCGAAGATCCAACTCCTACTAAAAAGCAAAATGTGAGTAATTTTTATATTAAGATTTTTTTGTAAACAGTAAAAAAATGTCAACATTCTTGTTTAGTATTCTGACTCTTCATTTTGTTTTGTTTTCAGGAATGTGTTTTTGTGGGCTTTGTTGATGCTGAGGGTGAACTTAAAAGTTGCAGTGCTTCTACTCTCTCAAGTGCTGAACTCTTTGACTCCACTCCTTGTCTGAGTCATTCCCTTCTTGTCAATCCGCCCAATAAAATCAACAGACCAAGTAGCAAAAGCAAACGTCAACTCATTAACCCACTAGATGTGGTAAGAAAGCGTACAAGTTATGCTTACTTGTAATTGATAACACTTGAGTTTCTGAATACAGTCTTGTGGTTTTCTAACCTTTTTGTTTTATTTTAAGGAACCAATGGCTGTCTTTGACATACTCTCTAACCAAGGAGTTTTAGGGCAGAAGGTCATAAATTTCATCCGGGAGAATGAATGTCTTGACCCGTCTCATCAGACACACATGCTTAAAATCCTTACAGATCACCTTCTGGCAAATGGTGGCAGCTAGTAAGTTTTAATTATTTGTATAGCCACAAACCTCTTCCTTACATTTATCAATATTTAAGTAATATGCTGTGCATGCTTACTAGGTCCTCTTGTAATTTCCTCTTGTACTTTATGTTTCAGTTACCCCAAAACTCCCGTTAAAATTGCCATGGCAAAGGGAATCATTGCAGACTTTCCTAAACTGGCAGATGAAGATAAGGGATTTGTATGTATATCTATCTATATATAGACCATAGTTTAACTTTAAAAATATGTATTTTCTTTATTTGTTTTATCTAATCTATGATATTTGATTTCAGCTCTCATGGTACGACCCCTCAACTTCCAGAGGAATCATTCAAACAAAGTTCCAAACTCTCCGGGACACAGTCCTGTCACCAACAGAGAAAAAGAACAAACCAATATCAAAGTCACCCCACCCAAAGAAGAGGAAAGCAGAGCCTGAAAATAGCCAACAAACCCTGAATTCATCAAGTGAATCTAATTCATCTAATGATTCTGCTGAACTGTCCCCTACTTTGGCGGAGGAGGTGAGATGAAAATTTAGTACTAAATTATTGTAGTTATATATTGCAATGTATAACTACAGTACATACTACATGTAACATGTAGTAGTAATTTGTTGTAGTTATCTTTAAAAAATCTCTCATTTGTTGTTGCTTTACTGTTCTTTTTATAGCTCTCCAACACCAGAAGCTTGGTAGCCACACCACAGAATTTAGTCAGAATATCAACAATTTTAAGGAAAACATTTTCAGTGAGAAGGAATTGGATTAAGTCAGCTGTTCCTAGTCCCAGCTGCACTGATATACTCAACCAGTATTACCACTTAGGAAGCTATGAAGGGAAAATGGTAAGACCTTGAAAATAAATTAATATAACTGGATGTTTGTTTTGTTGTTGTTCAAACTATCCAAATCAAATTATTTTTATTTTTCTTGCAGATAGCCCAGGAGTTTCAGTTACAGAATCCTCTTGCTAATGACATTGTGGAAGTATTTAAACGGTGGGCTCCTCACATACTCACATATGCCAAAAGAACCAAACCACATGCATTTCAAGAACTTTCTTCACAGTTTTCAGATGACGATCCAGACAAAGGTTTATTAATTTGTCATTGATACTGCGCATAGTTAGTTAAGTATTGATAACAGTTCAAGTTGCTTGTACTAATCATTTTATATTTTACAGATAACATAGTTGCTTTATTGATTCTTCCTAAACTTCTGCCTACTGTGGCCAACTTAAAAACTATGAAGGCATGGGAGCTAGAGCATCTTAAAATGTATAAAAAGTTTATTGAGGCTGCCATTTCCAGCTCACTTGTTCAGATCGTACCGGTATGTGGAGTTTATATTAAAGCCGTGATGCCTCTCTTCAAAATATTACACACTTCATTTTTGTGGTATCTTTTTATTTCAGTCTGGGACAAATGTGACGCTGCAAGCAAGTTGTGAAGCTCCCAGAGACGAAAGGCAAAGGAAGACGCCAATATTTCCGTTCTTGTTGTGGGCTACTGATGACAAGAAGACAGGACCAATGTATCTCAAAATTGATCAGAAGTCTTTTTTTGTAGGCAATACCCAAGTAACCCCTGATGTATTTTTAAGAGCAATTGCACTGAAAATTCAGGCTCATTACTCTTTCAATTTGGAATATCATCCTTACTTAAGGACATCATTCAATTTTATTGAGACACTATATGGGATTAATCAACCGAAAACTACTTGTGTCACCAAAATGATGACAGCCCTTCGAAACATCTCAAGTGCTTAATCTGATTTATTTTTTGTTGTTGTTTTTGTTCTTTGTTTTACTTTTGATAGTTTACATTTGTTATTATTGATTAGTTTTTTGTTTTCACTGTAAAAGTCATGAGTCATGATAGGATAACATGAACATAGTTTTTGTTTTGGTGTCTAAATATTTTTCCTATAGCTAACATTTATATCTGTTTGTGGTCACTAAATATATAGCTATGCGGAACTATATTACCTTGTACTGCTTAGATAATCCTCACAAACACTTCCTAAAGTTTGGTAAGTGAAGTCACAGATCAAGACTCTTAAATTGTGACACATAATTAATACACCTTTAATCTGTCACATAACTTTGGTTTAGAACTGGAATTAGTCTGTCTTTGCTTCACTAGAGCACATGATTGTTTTTGGCACTGAGATGAAATAATTCTCGCCACTAAAGTACATTTTACTGTAGAGAAACAATATACTCTCTCTGAACGAAGTTTGTTTAAATATTTTCACTTGTTTCTGCATGCACAACACTGAGTTCTCTTTGGGTAAAATCAACACTTGTTAATCTCAATTGTTTTAAAGAAATACTTGCTTTATTGAAATTTACATTACATAGCGTGGGAGCCAAGGTGGAACTAATGCAAAGAGCGCTGCAAACCACAGCTAAAGCTGGTCGTTGGCAGAATGCAGCTGTTGGATAGTCCTGGCTCGAAAAGGGTTTGGTGAAACATTCTCACTACACAAAAGAAAAGAATAATAAAGACAATGAAAATACAATAGCAATATATAAACAGGGCAAAACATGTCAAATATTTTTTCACTACTTACATCTTTGGATCTGTTTGACTCAAACAACTTATTTGGGATTAGAACGAAGCTGACTTGAAGTTTGATTAACTAATTTGGGTAGCCTCAACAGTAAGCTCACATACTTGTGCAAACCAATACAAGCAGACAACCTGAAATTGGTAAACAAAAAACAACAAACAATGCATTAGGCCATATTAGAGGTTAATGGACTTGGTTTACATTGCACAGGAAACACTTACGTTGGACGACACGCCACAGAAGAATCAACCTTGCTCTAGTTGTCATTCGCTCTTGCTGTCACAGTGCACGAAACAGATATAAATCCTCTTGACATCAATTGGAGAACATATCCAGTACTAGTGTCTGCGGCAGAGCTGCTCTCCCACAAATACCTAAAAAAACATAACAACAATCTATTAGTTGTGTGTATTGTCAACATATCATCACGAGATCCTTACACAAACAAGGCAAGGGTGAAAAAGGGATACACAGCAAACACAAATAAGCAATCGCAGACCACAAGAGTACAAAAGATAAAATTGTCTGGTTTTGGCTAAGTTCTTATAGTACTGTAGGGGCCTATGTTTACTTTGAGGAGTTAACCTATCGCTCATTCTTCAGTGTGTCATGATTCAGGGTGAAAACAAAGCAAAATTCGAAAACAAGAGGGTGAAGAAGCAGCCGAGTTATGTCAGTCAATAGAAACAAGCGGTCAGTCAAAAGAAAACATCTCAAAAACAGCCCACATTAGCCAAGAGGTTAGTCAAACATTGATGTCAATCAATATGGCAAGAGCAGTGCATGGCGAGGCGTGAACAAAACAAGAGGTGAGTGCACAATTCCAAACAAAAGAGACTTACTCTCAAGTTGAAGGCGTCTGTTGCAAATCGTTCTGAATAACAACAACGAAAATACCAATTTTGTGCACAGAAGACCTATAACCTAACTGTCGGTGTTTAGTGAACGAAGTGACTATACGCAGTCATATGAGTGTGTCTAATAACGTGTGTACGCTTCCGGGTTCAGCGCGACATTTTAAATTCATCGGATCTTGTGACGCGGCTACGTAACGTAATAATAATTAGCTTACATGACAGCAATCATCGCACAGGCGAAGTGCAGTGCCCTACTGACCCGAGCCTCCTTGAAATTAAGACGATCTGGAAGCTTCAAGGAAAACCCTTGAATACCAGACGAAAATTCCAAGGCTTTCCCTTGGAAGCTGCGAGTTTCAAGACAGAGTCTGGGATTTCAAGGGCCAATCTTGAAATTATCCACCCGACCTTGAAATCCAAGAAATTTCCTCGGATTTCAAGACTTTCTTTTTACCGTGGGGTGCGCGTCGTCCAAAAGTACGGTGGCACGAGTGTGGCCAGAGGGTTTTCTTTTTCCCGCAAACGAAAAGGCCCGCGGGTCCGCCCCCCGCAGAGGAGCGCGGTCGGTGACGGAGAACGGGTTAGCGGGCGCCCCCTGATGAGGCCCAGTGCCGCGGTCTCCGGGGCCGCCGGGTGAAAATCCCTATATCAAAGGCGTGCAGTCATACAGGGGGCAAGGCCAAGCGGCGGCGGCGAGCGTACCACGACAACAGCACAAAATAAATTATAAGAGCGCGCAGGAAAACTGCGGTATAGATAACGCAGGGATTGTACGGTGACACTGCCTAACCCTGTGGCACAAAATTCCAGCATTGGTGTCGCCATGCGCACACGGGAAAATGGTTTAATTGAATTAACGGAAAAGCCCTTGGATCAATGGAAATTTTACCAATAGAAAACATTATAGAATTAAGCGATTTTCCATTACTCTGTGGCAATTTTTCGCTTGAATCAATTAAATTCCATTGAGTCAAGAAAATAAACATTCTAAAATGTTTTCTTTCT